AGAGAAGGGGGAAGAGTTCTCAATAAGGAAAAAATAAAACATAAAAATACACAAGAAAAACACTAGGATTATCTGCAATCACTTTTCAGTTATGTGAGATACACTGAATTTCAAGTCATCTTCCTAGAATATTTTTAACCTTTCTGTTGGGCAGCAGCAGAGTCCTCACTAATGAACAGCAAAGCTGCAGGAAGAAATCTGATTTAGGAGACAGAGCAGCAAAGCATCTTTGGAAACTGTAGAAAGCTTCTGCAGCAAGACATAATGCCAGTTACCCTGAGTAGCATATGCTAAAACAATGGTCAAAAAACTTACAGCCACAATGATTATCTAATTATTATCTTGGGAAAATAACTTACAGTCTTCTGAAACAAATGCTATAAAGTAAAACTTGTGTAAGGCTTTTTATGAGCCTACATGTAATTCCTCAATAGTCAGAGAAACAACCTCATCTGTCCCTTTTGATTTCAGATCCATTTGTGCATGAGTGTTACATTAACACAGGAGGACAACTGAGACCTAAAACACAAGAGTAAGAATATCCAGTTAGGACTCCTACAACATTGCCAAAGCCAGCTTTAGCACAGAGACAAAATACAAATGTAGAACTCAACTGAACACAGAGCAGTCACTGTGGGACTTCTAGTTCTGAATTTGCTGATTCTTAGAAATCAAAAATTTAAACCAGTACTCTCTTGTCACCAGCAGCTGGTCAGATCCTCTGTGCCTAAAAACCAGTCTAACCCCTGGAGGAAACCTTACTTTCCAATCCTGACCCATTTCACTTTCTCAGCAGCACAAAACTTTTGTGAACATCACTAACCCTTTACTCATAGCTGTTAGGCCTGCCACAAAAGGTTTAGGTTTCACCCTAAAGCACATGTTGTTCCCAGAAAAGCCCATAGGGACAGTATCCATACAGGGATCTTCAGCTTTGCACGACCTGCTCCTAGCTCTGAAAATCTCCACACACACTCTTTCCTTCAGGAGTTCCCCTTGCATTTAGGCATACGTTACAAAACCACACCTTTTTATATACATCTCCATGCCAGTGCCATTACCTTTATTGGCCTATGCATCAAACTGAATGTACACCTACTTGATCAAGCAGCACTGACGATTTTCCTGATCTACAGATTGGACATGAGCAGAGGACACAGACTGTGTCTTCACAGACTTGAGTACATTGAGACTTATGCTACAACTAACTAGAACTCACCTGAACAGTCTTAAAGCCCTGCCTTCCAGACACCTTCCAAAGTCCACTACAAGACTGCAACGTGGAGAGGTCAAACTCCACACATTCTTTTCCCTTTTATGAGCAAAGGCAAGAAGCAGAAAGCACTTTGCCTGAGCACTCAGCACGAAGAGACAACAGCTACATGTCTTCACATTCATCAGTAAGACAGCTCTCATCTATGGACTGCACTATCTTTCCCAGAACTCTGCTCTTCATCAGCTTAAAATCCTCCAGTACCAGGTCTAACCAGAGCAGCTGGAGCGCTTTGTGGATTTGTTGTTTGGCTGGTGGCTTTCGATTTTTTTCCCTAATGCAGTTATCACAAAGGCAAGGTCAGTGAGCAACCCAACACAGCAAATAAGTGTGATTCAACACCTTGCCCCTGACACAGGCCAATACATAAAGGTGGTTTAGCAGATGGAGCGAGAAGCCTTAGTGGAAAATTATGGAACACATTGCCCTTTCTTCAAATCTTTAACTGTTAAGAGATTGGGCTATGTCTGAAAAAATATACCTTCTAAAACAAGTTCTTTAGCTAAAGCAAGTCTGAACATTTCCACTCATAAATGCTTGATCTTTTCTGAATCCTGCTCAGCTCTTAGCCTGAGTGCTATTATGTGGTAGTGAATTTCCACAGATTAGACATCATGTGAAAATACTTTAAAATCATTATTCAGTTTGATGCCTATCAGTTTCACTGAATTGCATTCACCTCAACTGAAGAATACATTCCAGCTCCTTCACCTCTGCACAGAAGTCTTCCTCAGGCTTGGCACCCCGCAGTGTTGAAAAGCAGAGGAAAACTGAGCCCACCCAAGTGATGCTTATTCTACATTCCTACCATTGCAATGCTATTCTCACACTCCTACATGGCCTTCCCCATCATTTCCTTCCTAAGCACAGCTCCCAGGAGGACACTCCCAAGAGGATGGCTCATGTAATTCCAGATATGAAACAGCCCGCAAGATGCTGCATTTGTCCCTCTCTGTCTGTGCATATGAGCCATAAAACCACACATCAACTTCCTGACAATGAAGAGAACAGTTTCCAAGTCTGGAACAAAGGAGCAAAAAAGAGAAAATATTAATTTAAATCAAAAAGATTCAGTGAGACAAGGTGTTATGTGAGAGAAAACAAGCAAAAAGCTCATAGGAAAGGAAAAACTGTGAGGTCTCAGAGTGCCCACCTGCCTTAAACAAGGCAGGGTCTGACTTGCACTCCACAGCAACTTCACCACACGGGACAGTGGATCACACAGGGGTCTGCTTCATTTTGAAGTCATGGCCTGAAATATCTTTTTCATCTCACATCCACCAAGCTTTACTAAAGCATTCAACACCACAGTATCCAAGCATCCATACACTAACGGATTCATCCTCAAATCCCCAGTAAGACGGGCATTAATCATATTTTCCAACCAAAGATAGCAGAGCGAGAAACAGTAATGATCTGAACACACTCACACAGCAAATATGTTGCAGAAATTAGGTGTTCTTCTGACCACAGTGTCATCCTTCCCCTCCAACGAGCTGTAAAGATACTTCAATTTTAAAAAGTAGCACCCTTCCTACTACAGTTACAGACCCAGCCAATCTAGATCTAAGGAAAAGCCCTCAGGTAGGGGAACTGGCAGGGAAACAGGATGGAAGATTTCACGCCCTAAGGCATTAGCCCTGTTTGCATAGATTACACACATAGTTCCTCTGCAGTCCTGCGTAAAATGAATTTCAGAGAGGATCGTATTTACCCAGTAACTGGTGATTTGAAACACACACAGCTAGCATAAATGCCAATGGGCATTCATTCTCTCCAAAGCTCAGGGTGTCACACAGAAAGGAGATATCTTCCCAACCAAAGCCCTCAAGCAAGGAGACGAATATATCCAGCTTCAGGACCTTAAATTTACTCTCAAAGCATTAACCGAGTCTAACAATTGAGAAAATCTGCTCTGTTATGACAATTCCAGTTCTCAACAAGCCCAGTTAAAAGAGCAGAGATGAGTCAAAAAGGTGTCAAGCCAGACTCTCATTTTTCAGTGTAGGAATCCTACCCTCAATCTGTATCACATGCAAGCTCATTTGAGACCCTTACATGTTGTATTTCTCCTAGTAACATGAAAGACAAAGAGTTATTAGCCACCACTACATTATTGTTGTCACTCCATGCTGTAGAAGCAAGGCCATTGATAACAAGTACACGACATGGTTATTTCGCCAGGATCTAACCTCCAGAACTATTTCTTGGGATGACACTGTGATATGGTGAAACATGGAAATCTGAGAGTCTAGTTTTCTGTGAATCCTCCATAAAACATAGCAGACGTTTTAGCAGGTTAGGCAGCTCACCTTCAGAAAAATAATCAGCCTTCAGGACTCACAAGCATCAAATCCACTTCAAACAACCACGAAAAAATACAGTTGCATTTTACTAAAACTTGTTTATTTTGCTACTGTTCAAACAGCCTTCTTCACTTCTTTAAAGATGTTTTATAGGCCACACCAGGTGCCACAAACCCTTTCTCCAAGCCAGCTCTGGTACCATTCAGGCTAGCACGCTGACCAAAAATCATTCATTACATCTGACTTGATTAGTTCTGCTCTGGGACAAAAAGCAGGCAGACTTGCAGAGGAGTACACCTCTTTCAAGGCTATAGTCTATTTCCCCTACATGCTACACCACATGATTGTATTTAGAGTGGATGGTGGAGATAAGAATTCAGGTTTGTTGGCTGCAAAGCAAGTGACTTAGCAGGAGCCAACAAACAACTTGAAACAGACTGGAAAAGCACGCAAGGTCATCTTTAGTTCAGAAAGCTGGTTCGAAGAGGCAACAGGTCTTGGCATGCAACTCATTGCCTCCTGACCCAATGTCTTGTTAATATTAAAGATGAAGATAGCCATGGGTTGCACTTTGGAACTCTGCTGGCCCTGCTAAAATGCATTCCCATGATTTCAAGAGCACTGGGTGCCTCAGAAGGAATGAAAACCCAAAAGCTCCTGATACCACAGCTAAGACCTGGTAGCTTAAATGCAGATTTAACACCCAGAAGCTAAATCATACTGTATGCCACGCACTGCTGAGATATATGTGCTTTCTGCAGTGATTCACCAGAAGGTGAAGAAAAGAGAAAGGAATTGTATTAAATGTGACTTGACAAGTAACTGAAAGGTATGATCCAAAGACCAACTGCTGGGTATCAAACAACTGCACCTCTAAACTGGATCTCAGCAGTGAGTTTGGGAGAGGACAGAAAGGCCAGTGGTATATCTGCATCACCCATCAGGGAAACAGCTACAGTACGGGTGGAAAAAACAATGTGGTGGAAGAAATAACCTGACAGAACAGACTGGAACCACCTAATTTTGACATCGCAATTATTGCAAAAGCAGGTTCCTCAGGAAGGATTTAATTTGGATTACGGCTGGGCAGACCTCTTTTGGATTATATAGAGAGCATGGCTACTTCGGCACCAACAGAGCAGGATTTAGGCTGCTTCTCCAGGTGGCATGTAAAGAGCAGTGGCTTACAACTTTAACTGAACTTCTCTTCCCAGGTACTCTTACTGAATTTCTCAGGGTCACTCCCATTTCACTGACAACCCAGCCTCTCAATTCTGCCAACACAGGCCTACTATGATGCAGAGAACACCAGAGAGGGACAGTGTTTCAGGTATGCAGTTCACATATTATCAAAAAATTCGAGTAGTGGGACCAAAAGCACGCAGTCTGACTCAGCATCAACTCATTTCTGGCTTTCTTACCTGCTGTCTGATGCTTCAGCAAGGATTCATTGCTTCATCTTATGTAGGCCCTTTATCCCCGTTCCTTCTCTGAATCTGTAAAACAGAGATGCATACCTCTGAAAAGCTTTCACTGGCACAGAACTATGTACACGTGATGGATGATTCTTTTCAGTGGACAACATCCACCTGGCATCTCTCCGATCTAGGTCACTCTCAGCCTTGCCAGACTCGCACATCATTTGCACACCCCAACACCTACCAGTGCAACCTCCTGTCCACCTAAAAATCTGTGTATTAGCACTCAGTGTTTTACTGTGCTCCATGTAGAGTGCTCCAGCTTAGAGCTAGATGCAGTTCAGTATTTACTGTACATATGCATTCCTTTAAAGTCTTTCCACGTTCCCAGAGGTTGATTACTAGTCCTACAGCAGGAAGCATCCCTTGCACTACAGAGAACGTTCAGGCTGGTAGAGAATTTCCCATTAACCCCTGCTGAGCCTGACACCAGAGGAGTGCTGATTCTTCCCTTCCAGCCCTGCCTCTGCCAGTTATATTCTGGTTCTTTTAACATACATGCTGGCCCAGACTTGTTCCACTTTGCAGTTCCTACCCCAGCAGCGCTCCCAGCAAGGATACTGCCTTCTCACCCCCCATGCCCCCTAATTCCCCATCACCCAGACACGGCTACACCCTGCGTGGTCCAGGTCCCGCTTCCCTGCCCGCGCTGCTCCCTGACACAGGTCCCTCCCCGTGAGGGAGAGCTCCCTAATACCCTGATGGCTGAGGAAGTGACTATCACCCTTCCCCACGGGGACCGTCCCTTCCCCGGGTCCCAGGCTGTTGCCTCAGCGCCCTCCGGCACCCGACCCCCGCCCCAGCGGGCTGAGCCCTCCCTGCCCGCGGTGCGACCCGCCCGGACCCGCTGTCCTCGGGGCACTGCACAATTCCTCGCCACACACGTGGGTAGGAAGGCCCCCCCACCCCACCGCCCGAAGCCCGCCCGGGAAGGCCGGAGCGGCCCGGGGGCGCAGGGATCCCCGCCCGGGGCTCGGTCTCCAGCCGGTCGCGTTCGCCGCTCCCCGCCCCCGGAGCCCCAGCCCGGCTCTGACCCGGTTGGGCTCGGCTCTGCCGGGGGTCCCAGTGACTTTGCGGCCTGTTCGGCCCCGGATCGGCCCCGCCTCGGGCCCGCCCCAAACTTTGCCCCCGCCCGGCCCCGGCCCCGCTCTCTCGCCTCAGGCCGCCATTTTGCTGCGGGGCACGCCGGGTAATCCGGCGGAATCCCCACGCCGCTGCGCGCCTGCGTCATCGGGCGGCACGCGCGGGGGGCGGGGCCGGGGCCGGGCGGGGCGCGAGTCGGGCAGTCCTGGCAGCGCGAGGGGCGGGGGGGCGGGAGTCGCGCGGCAGTGCCGGGTTGGGCTCCTGGCGTTGCCCACGTGCCCAAACTGCAGGGTCCAGGACCAGCTCCTGCCCCTTCCCACCTACCCCGGGTTAGGAGAAACACCTTGAGGGGGCGGAGGGACAGAACCTTCCAGTGTCAGGGCGAGGGCCCAGGATCAGCTCCTGCCCGTTCCTACGTGCCCCGAGTTCCAGTGTCCATGATCAGCTCCTGCCCCTTCCTATGTGCCCAGGTTCTGAGAAACACGCTGACGGCCTGGGGCGTATCCCAGCCTGTCACTAGGGAAGTACAACCCCAACCGTAGGGCCAGGGAAGGAGAGGGAGAGAGGAGGAGAGTAGTAAATGGAAAAATCTACCCAAAAGCCCCCAAGGACAACTATGTTCTTCTTAAAGGAGAGGAGCTGAGGACAGTGTGTACCTGTCAAAAGCTAGTCAAACCCTGACAAATTTGGGAATGTGCTTTAATATTTATTTACAAAATCTTCCACTATATTTTTCTAATCTTGGAACTTTGAAAAGTCAATGCATTTTAATTTTGAAATCAAACCAGTCCATTTATTCCATTCTGAGCTCAGCTGGGTACTTCTTCCATTGCTTCTCATGCCTGGTGCATAGACTTACCTCTGCTTCTATCCTTTCTTTCACAAACATCTCATGAATAGATTATACACACAGTAAATAATGGAGCCTAGTCCAGAGGGAATTTGTCCAGTCAAAAAAAGTCCCGATAGTATTTGTATGACGTTCTTCAATGTACTGCTACATTTGCAAAGCCTTCAGATTTGCATTCAGGTAGTACCACCCTCACAGCATTGCAAACTCTGCCCAAATGGTCCCCTCTCTTACACAATAAAAGACAGGTGCTCAGCAGGACCCCAATTCCATGACCTTGGGAATATTGTGCAGAAACGTCTGCTGTGCACCCAGCAAGTGCCGTCTGCACCACACCACACGTCAGCCAGGGATATTTCAAGAAAGCCTTCGGTCCTTGTGCCCCCATAAATTCTCCAAATCCTCCCTGTGCTGGAGTCGGATAACAAGCAGAAGGACAATGGCTCCAAGAATCCAGGCTGCCCATCTGCTCTGCACTTCCAGATTCTTGCTTCCACAGCACCAGCTGATGAAATTTTCATAGCTGATGAGGTTTCTCATTTCCACCGGCCCTTGCTGCCTTGGAGCCTTCACAGTTGTGGCCTGTTCAGGTTTCCGTGGGTGCGCACCGATGGCAGCAACCATGAGAGTACTTTGCTTTCTTTTGGTGACTTGTCGGAGTAGGATCTTCAAGCTTTTTGCAAGCCTAGGTGAAATAAGCCCTGCAGGAAGAAGAGTTGGATTTTCAGATGGTCTTGTCATTCACTGCTTCCATTAAACTCAGCTCTTCTCAAAATCAGATCCCAAGGTCAGACTGCCAAAGGGAGACAGGAACTGGACTTGAGCTGGCTGAGCACCAGTCACCTGCTCTGAGCACTGAAAAACACTCTTTCCTCAGATCCCAAAGGCCTTGATTCCCAATCCTTCTCCCTCTCCACATACATCTACCCTGCCTTTCCCTATATCCGGTATGCTTGTGAGCTGGACTCACCACTGCCCTGAGCCCAGAGATGTGGCATGATGAGGAAGCATGACGTTAGGTTACATTATATTCATTTATATAACACCATTAATACCAAAGTGCAGCTCCCTGCTAGAGCCAGTTGCTCGCTAAAGCCTCTGAAGTTCAATTAACAAGCACCAGGTAATCTAACACTTGACTCCCAATAATCCTTTTATTTTAAGGGGCCTCTGGCGGATGTAAAGCCCTCAGCAAACAGTCCTGGAAGTACATTTGAGATTCTCTCAAATAACAGCTGAATTTATAACCCTTAGTGGAGAGCAGAGAGGAATCTCTTCAAAATACTTTCCAGCCAGCAGCACTTTATATAGACCCTTGTAACTGAATAAAAGGAACCCCTGGAGGGGCAGGTGCCACCCTGTGGAGGGACAAATCCCTCTTAAGTGCCTACAGTCTTGGCTAGTGAAAAAGCAGATGCCAGAATTAATGTCTCCCCACCAGAAGAAGGCAGTGCAGGCTTGGTCCTCTCAAGTTTCCCACCAAACCAGGTCAAGCAGGGAAGATGGTGGGTGCTGGACCACCCCTTGGTGGCTGCCTTGGAGGCTGTCACCTGCCAGACAGTTGCATCAAGTCCCATTTTCTCCAGCTTGGATGCTGCAGTGCTGAAGGGATATACTTAGGAAACACTTGCCTCCTCCACTGCTTCTCTAACTCCAGCTGCACAGAGGATTCCCCCGTAGACCTCAGCTGGCAAACCCTCAGAGGCTGAGCCCACCAAAACCAAAAAACTTGAGACTTATTTTGAGCAGAATTTTCACTCTGGGATATGCCAGCACAAGAGGAACTCAGCACCCAAAACTAACAGCATTTCAGGAACAATAAGATCAGTGAAACACAGCCAGCCTGGGACAGTCAAACAAGTCTGTGGATGCCGAATTGGAGAGCCAAATACATCCTGCCAGTATGCCTGGAGCATGCATCTACCAGAAAAAATACACCCCACCAATAAAACAGTTGCTAACAACATACACACGTGTATAATTCAGTCCATACCACTACATAAGAGTGAGGGTTGGGGCTTAATTTTAAGCTGAATTGAGATACCATACTCAAAAAAATCCTGGACTCTTTTCACAAGCAAACTCTTTGCTGTCAGGATCCCCAGCATCAGTGGCTGAAGAACAGAACTGTGCTGACCCATCCCAACCCAAAGTGCTGTTTGCCTTGTGGGACTGCCTAAAGGCACCCATCATGGTTGGGATGTAATTGTGCTGGGCACTGCACAGAAAAACAAGCAGACACAATATCCTGCCCCCGAGGCTTGAATCTCTGAACCTCTTGAATCTCTCTCAAAGCCTCTCTGGCAATACAGAATGGAAGACGAAGGCAGAACTGGAGAACAACAACAGAAATCCACCATTGCAGTACCCTGGCACTTGGCATGGCTGGGTGTTTTCATGCCATCACAGGGTTTGAGCAGGGCACGATGCACAGCTCACACTGGTATTTCTGACATACGTAGAGGCACTTTCCCCCAACCTGCATACTTGAAGAACACACTGCACATCAACACTTGCTCACTACAATTGCTGCCTCTGCATGTTTTGTGTATTTATAAATGAATATGTATAAAAATAGAATAAAATAAATATATATCAGTGACCCCTACTGGCCATTTCTAACTAGCCACAAAACAGTGCAGCAAACAATGAACTCTTGCCTCTTTCCCTGGTACAGTATTTCCATGTGGGGCAGGGAGCACAGGGCCTGGCAGTGGTGGATTTGCCACTCACTTTGTGCCAGCCGCATCACTCTTGGGAGCAGGCAGTTGAAACTGGGATTTTCTGACCTCAAGTATTTGGTTGTGGCATCCCACTCATTTCTCTGCTCACCACCAGCTCCACGCCACAATCCCAGCTCTTGCACATTGAGCCCTGCACAGGTGCCTCCAGCTTTCACTCTGCATGGCTCTGTGACCTTACACACTGTATTCTTCTAGAAAAATTCAGTTCCCAGCTGGAACCTACATCACAGATACCACTGCTCCTTCAGGTGAGCTCCCTGCAGAAGGAGCTACCCCAGCACTGCAGTTTCTCCTCTCAACAGCCTCGCCTGAGCCCCACCAACACTCACTGTAAAGCCTTCGCCCCAATGGGTGCTAAATCCAATATGAATGCTGCCGTGAAACAGAAACTGAAGGGCCCTCTCATGACAGTGACTTACCCTGGTGAAGGTGTGTAGAGAATACGCCCGACAGGCAGGATGGCTGCTCTAATGCAAGCAAAACCCCATGGGAAGCAAAGGCTGGAGTCACCGTGTCAGCCTCAGACCAAGACTTAAGGGGCTCTGCCTCCCTTCCCCTTCGTCAAAACTTGTTTAGCTCGTCATGCTAATACAGTGTTTGAAATAAACTGAGTTCAAAGTATGTGGACAGGAAGGGGGAGGATGTCTGACTGGAGCACATGGGGAGGTGGCGGAGGGGTTAGGTGTGACACTGGCTTTCCTCTGCATGTGCAGGCAGATGGGGCTTCATCCAGGTTTGAGCAGAGCGTTCACCCGTGTGCAAGGGGAGGACACAACACACTGGGGTGTTGGGGTTGGCACTTCACTACAGTACACAAATGGGGAGGGAGGTAGATGACCCCCCCAAGCCCTCTGAGGGCAGAGCAGGGACTCGCAGACTCTTTCAGGTAGAGGCACATAGCTGTGTGTTGTCTCTCGAGGAGCCCTTCTGCATGCCCAGCATACGCCTCCAACTCACACAGACATTTTTTTTTTGTGAAATCTGCAGCACTGCTCTCCCAGAGCAGCTCTCGTTGTTTATAGGGACGGGTCCAGGCAGGCCAGGGAGGAATTACCTTTCTCTAGGACACGCTTGGTGCTTGGCTGAGCACACTGCTTCTCTGCTTCACGGGAGCTGCTGAAGGCCAAGGAGACAGTCAGTCTGCAATTAGCCTCCCCCCCAACACTCGTCCACATCCCCTGGGGCTGCTAATTACGGACTCTTCTGTAGCCAGGGTTCAACTCTTTCTAAGCATAGGCCATAGTTTCGCAAAATGACCTTGAAATTCTCTACAACAGGCTTGCCTGCCAGGTTTCACTGCAAACACCAAGACATGCCAACCTCTGTAAATGCCCAGGAGCAAGCTCAGAGGCAAGCACCAAGGAAGCTCAAAAGGTTTGCTTCAAGAGTCTCCCATTAAATGCTTGCATGCTCCCAGTGAGATTAGGAGGTTTCATTGCTAGAGCTGCCAGCTGGAAAGGCAAAGGGAG